ATCTATCTATCTATCTATCTATCTATCTATCTATCTATCTATCTATCTATCTATCTATCTATCTATCTACCTACCTACCTACCTACCTACCTACCTACCTACCTATATAATATATATATAATCTCTCTCTCTCTCTCTCTCTCTATCTATCTATCTATCTATCTATCTATCTATCTATCTACATATGTATGTATGGGACAGCTTTGAGATTTCACAGATAATGATCTGGGAGGAAATGTCCTTGTCTTCCTATAATAAATATGGTATATCTGGTTAGATGTTGTTTCTGAAAATTGTGTCTTGGTAAGCTAAATCTGGCAGCCTACGGATCAAATCTATCTTGTCATATACTTATGCTATCAATAGCTTTTTCTCTGAATGAGCTAAGATGTATCTTAACACAATAAAAAGAAAGAAGAACACAATAAAAAGAAATAAGAGATCCTTGCCAGTACTATAAACAATTGCTGATTTAGGCACCTATCTTTTATTGTTACAGACATCGTAAAATAAAAATGAAGATAGGTTTCTTGCTCATCTCATTATGGAGTCTCTGCTGGGCTCGTCCTGTAAGTAGTCTATAAAAGTGATTCAAAATATTCTTCCAAAAGCTTGAAATGACATTTACCTCTCTAAGCCAAGAGTTCCTTTTTAAGAGGTTTATGTATTGATTGATAACATTTGTACAGCTACCCATTTTAAAACCAGATTCTGAGTAGCTCATAATAGATGTACAGTAAAAATATTTATTCCCTGTTCTAATATTTTCAGGTTTCCAGATACCCAGGTGCACACCACAGCAACTCCAAAGAACACTGGGTAAGTAAATCAACTTCAATATTTGTTTTCAAACTGAGATTATTTTAGAAATTGTCCTTATAACTTCTGTGCAAAATCAGAGTGTAAACAGGTGTGGAACCTTTGTGGGACCGCTGAAAGGACTGCATTTAAATAAGAGATAGGTGGTGGTGTATCTCAGTGGTGGGATTCAAATTTTTTACTACCAGTTCTGTGGGCATGGCTTGGTGGGTGTGGAGAGGGAAGGTTACTATAAAATCTTCAGTCAGAGGTGGTATTTGCCGGTTCTCTGAACTACTTAAAATTACCACTACCGATTCTCCAAAACTGACCAGAACCTGCTAAATACCACCTCTGGTGTATCCCTTCCCCTAATGCAGGGGTCTTAAACTTGACAGCTTTAAGACTTTTGGACTGCAACTCCCAGAATTCCTCCTCCAGTCATGTTAGCTCAGGAATTCTGGGAGTTGAAGTCCACAAGTCTTAAACTTGCCAAGTTTGAAGACCCTTGCCCTAATGTTTTAACATAGACACCACCACCTCCATGTTAGAATTGAGCAGCCCTCCCTCAACAGAGACGGAGGAATACAACACAGCCTATCTCCTGTCTACAAAACAGTCCTTTTAATGGCCTCAACAACTCTCAGAAAGTTAACGACTGACCCGCAGAGTGATTGCAAAGGATAGAAATCCTTCCATTCACCCTTTAGTCAGTTAGAACTGAAGAAGCTTCTGGGATGAGAGATTTTCAGAGGGAAAAAACCAAGAAAGACCAATTGCCTTTTGGAAAAAGCACCTTTGGGACAGCCATGACCTGATGATTGAAAATCTCCATAGACAGAAGATGTAGTATATAATAAGAATAAATCCTGTTACCAAAAAGAATAATAAAAATATATAGGAATTAGAATAATAATAATAATAATAATAATAATAATAATAATAATAATAATAA